TAGAACAGTGGTTAAAATTTGGGGACGGCATTGATGCATTGTAGACTTGTAGTTTGGTATCCTTTGTGGAGCCAATGAAAGAATAACCTTCGATATATTAACACTACAGAGAATCTGTTTAAACGACAGAACGTGAATGGTGACTTTTGCAATTGTTCTAAAAGTAGGTGTTCGATAACATGTTTGTTAACTAGCTTTTGCAATCAGCTTTTTTGTCCTATCAGCTAAAAATGAAAACGCTGCCCAAGGGAGTGTTTTGAGTTGGCTGTGAGGAAAAAAAATTAAAAGTCACAATTGCCCTCTTAGAGCATTAATTTTTTTATTTTTAATTGTAATAATAAATTGCTATTGACTCACATTTATACTTTTAATTTGTGATGACTTGTTATTGACTTTGTTTATATGACGTGAATATAACTACTTGATTGAGAAATACTTTTATTTTATTATTATTATTTATATTTGTATTATATTTAAATCACTTTAACAAATATTTAAAATATTAATTATTTCTATTTCCTAAATAATTATAAGTTCAGCATAAATTAAAAAATTAAAATGATAAAGTATGTGGATGTCCTTATTAAATAATTTTACATGTTAACAGCTAATTAAAATAATTAATTTTATCAAACACTTTTTTACATATCACTAACACAATCAGCTGGTCAAAACAACTTATACAATCCACTGATCACAACAACTAATGCAAAACAACTTATACAATCCACTGATCACAACAACTAATGCAATCCGCTAACAGCTAACAACTAACATCTGATTACCAAACAAAGCTACGTTAGGTCTGCCTAAATGCAGCTACCTAAAGGCACAAACATTCGACAGAAATTGATGCAACAAGCCAAATAACAAAAATCTGGAAATATAACTTCACATACAACTCTGATACAGATTTTCCACAGTATAACACAAGCATCAAAGATTAAAAAATCCAGTGTACTTTGACGTAAAAGTGCAAGTAGACACTCTAAAAGCTACATACATACTAAAACATTTTATTACAGCCACTGCTGGTTTTTGTGGATGCAGAGAACTGTAGTTACAATAGAAGTGCCACAAATGCTCGACCAAAAAAACGTAACCCGAATATACCGAACCATTAACTCAGAGCACGATAATTTCCCCATTTACAAGGANTATTTTCGGATAGAGAGGAACTCAAAGCTTCGGAGAGGGTCATCTCGAGAGCCCTTGTTAACCGCTGCACGAGAGAAAGGGGATGGTTTTTGGTCAATGCTCGGTTGACTTCGTTGTGTGGTGGACACACGACCAATGCTAGAAACGACCCTGCTGCTCGTGCGGCCATCTAGCCCACCAGACGAGCTTGGTCTGCTGCTTGAAATGGCTGCTCTCTTTGAAGAACTTCCATTACGAGACGTGTGGCCTCTTTCTGAATCAAGTTGCTGCATATGTGTAAAAACGGAGATAAATAAATAAATAAATAAAAATAAGAAAATATGGTAAAGAATAATACTTTTGGTCATTGGGATGATGGGTTTGAGATGTAAAGTTGGATGCAGTATTAATTAATTTTCAAGTTTTCAAATTTACCCTTTCAGTGATTATTACATTAGAATCACATTGAGAATATATGGAAGGAAAGATTAAGTTCGAAGGATTTCAAACACAAGAAAATCATCCACAAAACATTATTATTATTATACCACATCCTTGGAAGAAGGCATATCTTCGGATGTCCTGTGTCTAGAATGTTCACCATGCCGACCAGAACTTGTAGCGTTCCTTCTAGAGAAAGCTTCAACGGCACCTGAGAATCTATCCCGAATATCTTGTCCTACTGAACAGAACAACCAAATCAAGCCTAAGGAAATAGGGATTGTTTACCAGCTAATAATACCAGTCAAGACATAAGAAACACGTCAAATTCATATAATTTAACTGCCACAAACCAACGTTTCTCAAATTGCTTCTCTAGTATATGAAGTTAAGATAGTTTAACGTTTTACCAGTTAATATAAATTTTTCTCATCTTCTAGTACAGTACCATCTTCATCCCACTGCATTCAGTTTATTAGGTTTCCTAACTTTCGCTTAATGCAAAATAAAATTCATTGAAATATTATTCACTTCATAGTTACATAAACACGAGCTAATCAGCTTAACATTGATCACTAACGGAACAACATATCAGGATCGTATGATGTGTATATTTTTGGGTACTCAAAAACTGGTATAAGGCCACAATTACCTGATGTTCTTCCATGTCTCTCACCAGAAATTCCAGCGACAGCATTAGCAGCGGGATTCTGAAAGTCGGTCAATATAAACTGTTAAACTCTTACTAGGAAACATATACGGCATAGATAACCAATCAATTTACCCTCTGTCTGGAACTTGAACCTATCTGAGGATACTTCAGCATTGTCCAATCAAAGACATAGTCAAATTGGTAACCTGCATGAATGTTTCAATTCAACATGTGCACACTGAAATGTAAGATACTCAAAAATGAACAGATACGGAGAAAACAAATTGTTCAATAAGAAAAATCCTAACATAATAAGTTTGAATAAGAACACATAACGCATTAGTATTTCTAATTACCTTCACGAATAAATAGGTCACGGAAAAGCCTCTTTAAGTAGGAATAATCTGGTTTGTCCTCGAATCTTAATGAACGGCAATAGTGAAAGTAAGATATGAACTCCGATGGATATGATTTGCAAAGCACCTGCAACAATTGTTGATAATGTGAACTTTCTTGGATAACAAAGTAAGCCATCAGAGCCGATGCAAACTAAGACAATAGGGAAAATCTACACCATTGGCCCCCTATTGATCAGTTTCGGAATATAATCTATTTCCGCAATACTGCAAAGACTAGGATAAATATGTTTTACAACATTTATTTCCCTAATGGTAATTATTGTTTAAATCCATAGGATTAAATACCTTCACTTTCTATTTTCAGAGGATTAAAGTACTATCACTCATTTCATCAAATTCTGCCGGTGCTGAAAATATAAATATCAGGACCAATCTAAATAAGTGAAACAGAAAAGGAAACAAAATATGCAGAACTAGATTTTGAAGGCATATCAAACTAAATGAACAGATAAGGAAATTTGCATTGTTAGGTTAAAGCAAAACTTTGGGATTTTGGCAACACATGCGAAAGCATGCATTTCAAACAAGGACAATCCATACAAAAAGTCAGAAACGTAATGATGGCACTAATAACCTCTATAGGAGTCAACATTTTCTTCTCACTGATTTTATCATATTTCTGCTTCTTGGTACCAGCTTTAAGTCCCTGCCAGGGAAGGCTGAAAAAATATATGAAAGAAAAGATAAGAAGCGTGTGGCAAGAAAAAGGCAAGAAAACACACAGAGTAATCATCTAAAAATATATGACACACCTTCCTCTCAGAAAATACATTAGGACATAACCAAGAGACTCCAGATCATCCCGTCGGCTTTGTTCTGCCAGGATTAGTGAACAAACATATATAAATATAAAGGAATTACAAATGCCCACGAGAACTTCTGGTTATATAGATGATTTACCAACTCCAAGGTGAGTATTGACACTGGCATAGCGAGCAGTCCCAGTAAGATTCTTATTTTCCCTGAGAGAAAATGTTCAAAAAGAAATACTAAATAAGTAAAGTGATGGTAAGAACAAAAATATGCCACAACTATATTCAGATATTAAACTACTCTATTTTCTAATACATCATCACATAGCATGGAAGCGCCCAGACGGAGTGCCAACAAACTCGCAAGATGCATAACATGCAACGTGCATTTATACCTAGCTTGTTAAATATCTAATCCCCCCAGCAAAAGATGACTGACAGTACCTGTATGGAATGTGTTTATGCGTCTGAAGATCTCTATACTTTTTGGCAAGACCAAAGTCAATTATGTAAACCTGAGTAAATAATGAAGTGTCACTAATACAGCACCGCCATCATAAAGATGTTAATTAGGGCAAGAGGCATTCATAAACCATTAAGCATTTTAAGATGAGGTTTTCTGGAAAAATTACATTTGGAACCCTATGCTATAACACAACTTCAACAGTCACCCAAAGTACAAATTAACTACAAAATCTAGCAAAGAAACAGGCTAAATAAAAACCCAGAGAAGAAAAAATTAAATAATATATCATGTGGCAGTTGCTCAAAATAAAAAATGATAGAAATGCATGCCTGATTCGCTTTGCGCCCCAAGCCCATCAGAAAATTATCAGGCTTTATATCACGATGAAGAAATCCTCTTGAATGCATGTACTCAACTCTGTTGATCTAAAGTAATTACAAACTTAGTCAACACCAATGAAGCTGATCGTTAAAACTGTAGCCCAAGAAAATTATAAATTTCTCAAGTCACTTACTAGTTGATCTGCAAGCATTAACACAGTTTTCAAGCTGAACTTCCTGTTACAATAGTTGAAGAGATCTTCCAGACTAGGACCTAGTAGGTCTATCACCATGACATTATATTCACCCTCAACTCCAAACCACTTCAAGTTGGGAACACCCGCTATATGGTAAGAGAAAGCAACACACGGTTGAATTCATGTGAAATGAAATAATTTCCAATTCATGCTTCCAAAGAGAATATTCTCTACCACCATCAACCAACCCTCACATTTAAATGCATTAAAGAATCCAAACTCAGAGAAAAACAAGTGATGAGGACAGAAGACGTTTCAATCACTATCAATGCAGACATATTCAACTCATCTAAATTAGGTCAAAGAGCCTTATCAGGAGAATAGGAAATACTAGTCATGAAAGAGGAGTCATAATATTGATTTGGCATTGCCTCCATCAACCACATAGCCATAATGCAGATAAGTAACTTTAAATATTAACTAATTGATCTTCAACCCGCCACACAGCAACCAAACAAAAAAAAAAGGCAAAAAGAAAAGTAAGAAAAGGAAAAGAAAAGACCAACAACGCACTATAAGGTTTCAGAAAAGTTGAAATTGATATTTCTAGCCATCTTTGTAACTTGGTTAATATAATCAAGATTCAAGAGTATGCAAATTAGGAAGCACTTCATCCAACAATTTCGATTTCCAATCTAATTATATGTATCAGTCTCTTCAGACTAGTCCCCATAGAAACATGTATATGTCTACATAAATACGAGGGATAACAAAAGAGAACTTACTCCCTCCTTGTAGAAGCATATAAATCTTTGACTCATAGTGAAGTTGAGGATGCTTGGTCTTCACAGATTCCTAATAAATGGTAACAGAAGTACGGAAAACAAAGACATTCTGATCATTAAGTTCATAAATATTATAAAAAATATCAACTTGTCCAAGTAAAACTTATCTCAACAAAGGTAACCTAAATATTACACATTAAGTTCTACACTTCATAAATATATAATTAAGTGGCACGGCCACAAGTCTATTTAGTTCATTAGTTTGAATTAAAAACGCTCGTAGCATTTTAGGCACAGTTTGACGAAGTTCAACCAATTTAAAGGTACCTCGATCTTAATAAAAGCAGCTACACTCATTGTTGGATTTTAGTTGATAATGCCAATTATTATTTTAGCACTAGAGAGAAAGCATGTGATTGGATTTAAGTCGATAATCCCTTGAAACAAACACTGGAAACAATAAAATCATTTAGGCAGCCCCATAAAAGTATTCAACTCTAGGTTTTCGTTTTGGCAGTCATACAAACCATAACATAAAGACAGACTATTAACGAGCATTCCATTTGAAAAGCAATACCAGCTTAATGGCAACCTCTTCTCCGTTTTGGATGTTCACACCTACACCAATGCAACAAATTGACATAAATTTTGTAGAAATGGAAGAAACACGGTACTTGCAGTGATCCGAAAGGAACAGGTGAGAAAGAGGAGGAAAACTAAAAGAGGGGAAACACATAAAAGCCAAAATATTATCAACCAAATCATGAAAGTTAAAGAGGATACCTAGAAAGAGCTCGCCAAATGAGCCACCCCCAATTTTCCTCCCAAGTTTATATTTTCCTCCCACAACATGATCCATTGCAATGGACTCGAGCAGAAAATAAAAATATAAATATCAAATATTACCCCCCCAACAAAAAGAAGGTGTAAAATTCGGCCTTAATTAGAAACTTCAAAAAACCGTCTCCAGACTAGAAATGTGCAGAGATAAACGTAATGGAAGTTCTGAATCCTTAATCTACACGGTGGGATCCAACAAATTAGCAAAGATAATTTAGCAAGAAATTCTATTTGCCCCCAGCAACATCGTCAAATATACAGAAAACCCTAAACCGAAGCCCAAATTGCTAGCTCACGATCCCCAGATGCTGATCTCATCGAGCAGAGCCCGAAAACGACCATCAAAATCGAGCACCGACGTTTTTACCAGCGGATTAAGTGCTAATTTGCCTGATTGTTGAAAAATATTGGGAAAAACAGAAGGATGGTGATGATTATGGCGAAGAAAAAATTGCAGAGGGCAGACAAAGGAGCGGAAATTGAGGGATTAAAAGAGAGAAGAGAGAGAAAGGGAGGTGTAGAAAGAGAAAGGGAGGGTGAGCAAGACAATGGATTGTGTGTGTAAAAGGGCAAAAATGAGGTTAGAGTGGGAAGGTTGATGATTGGTGATATAAAAGAGTGAGTGGTGGCTGTTGGGAAAACAAATGCAACTACTTTATTTGTTTTTGTTAAAAAAAAAAAAAATAAATAAAAAAATAAAAAATCTTTTTTATTATATAAAAAATCCTAATTTGGTAAATTCACCTTATTTGTTGTATTTTTAATAACAAATCCTAATAAGGTACGCTCGGACCGATTGTGAAGTATTGCTTGGCCTCAAGGAATATCCAAGTCAAAAACTCGTTAGAGTCCCTGAAGCACCTCACCTCATCAGCTCGAGTTGATAATGCTTTAGAAAACGAGCTCCCTGGAGTGATGACAGGAAAGAGGCTCGACTCCTCTCATGAGCTTGTTCCACGTGTTCGTCCATAGAAGTTTTCAGTTGGACGAGTTGGGCTTACAGGTTGGCGTTCTCGGCAGTCTTGGCCTCAAGCTCCAAGGTCAAACGAGTGACATCCCCCTTAGTGTAGTTGACCAGAGCCCGCAGAGTGACGTTGGCAGCCTCAAGATCTTCAACCTTTTCTTTCAACTTGGAGACATCATCAGAGTCGCCATTCAAAGCCTCATGAAGGATGGGGTCTAGGTTGGACATAGCATGCAAGGAAAAAGAGTGGTTAACTCAAAACATAAAAAGATGTATAGTGAAAACAAAAAAAAGATTAAAGCAGGTTATACATGCACATAGTGATTGATCGTGTAGCTAGCTCGGGCCACTTTGTTGCCCGACCAATGACCAGTTTCTCCATTCAAAAAAATGAAGAGGAGGTATGTGGCCTGGGTCCCGACGTCTTTGTTGATCACGAAATGGTTGGGTTGCTCAACACTAGTCGCGGTGCATTCTGTTGGACGATTTACCTCCTTTACGCTCAGGGGCGATATGCTTCGAGTTGGCCTGCTCGGTTGGCTTGTGGGGATCGAGAGTTGACTTTTTTTTTGTTAGGAGGATCGAGCTACAATACCTTAGTGGTTCTGGTTGCTCGATAGTGGCTTTAACCTCCTTCAAGCTGGAGGTAAGTTCAACGGCCANAAAAGATTTAGTTAATGGATTGAGGTCGTGCAAAAAAGTCATTTATTAAATAAAATAATAAAAAATGCCTACCCAGATCAATGATCCTGAGGGCATTGCAGGAGGACAACCCACAGTGGAAAAGGACTTAAGGGTTTTCGCTAAGTTGCATGATGTTTATGTTAGTGTTATATACTGAAAGCTTGGCTTTGCATGATATTACACATTTACCTTTTATAAATGAGAATCATGTTAGATTAAACAAGTTCTACGTTCTGTTGTTCTGCACTTAGATAGTGTGGGTCGTCATCGAGCGAACCGAAGATCACTCTATCAGTTACTTGCGAACGAGAATAGTTGTTCACAACCTAGATGGACATGAACACTCTATCCGAACGGTTGTAGTGTCAATTGTACAGTTTGTCTTGACTGATTAGTTGCACTAGTACATTTATGTATTGAACAGGATCCCAGAGAGGAGAAGTTCATTTTATACTGATCGTCGTAAATGAACTAGGCCTCGGTTAATTACTGCGTTCTCTTAACCCGTAAGATATTAAACAGGCAGATATATATAATATATATTACTTTGATTCACATGGGTGAGGTTCAGTTCGCTGGATTAATATTCCTACTGTTTTGGGTAATATTATTATATATAGGATGTGCTGTTAGGATATTTACGGTCACCATGTGCGTTAGTTTGATGATGTCCCCGGAGTGAGTTCATGAAGGATTGTTATGCTAAACCCTGCAGGTGGATTAAATTCCGGCATAATAAGAATGTGATGAACGAGCGCTAGCTTCGGTGAAATAATAATAAATTAATTAATTCTTGATTGTCAGTAATCGAATTAATTAATGGACATTATATCTTAAACGTGGGGAGGTAAATCGAGTAATTATTATTGGAGTCTCAAATGTAATTTGGGCTAGGAAGAGGGAGTGCAATAATATAATGTTGGTGGCCCATTAATATTATTTAATTAATTAGAGGAGTGGGCTTGGCCCACAGTTAGTCTAATTAATTAAGGAGCCATTTTTCTAATCTCCTTAGGGTCCCTACTGTAGCTCTATATATACATCATTAAGCTCATGAGAAGAGAACAGAAGTCTCATTCACACGAGATATACGCCTCACATGCCTCTCTCTCTCTAGATCTCATTCGAGCTTTATCTTCTTCTTGTTGCTCCACTGGTACAAGTTGAAGAAGGGTGTATTGAGTAATACAGTAGAAGATCTGTAGGTAAACCGAGACGAAATATATTTTGACCTACAGAACTAACCGGAAGTCCGATTGAGACGTACAGTATACCAGACGACCGTCTCGACGAGAGCTTTTCATCGCCGCCGACGTCTCCGGATTCCGACGTCGCACGCGCCCTCACGCGCCTCCGGAAGGAGCCTGACTGCAAAAATTCGTTTTTATCTGTTTGCATCCGTTTGATCCGATCTTGATCTGATCTTGTTTGTGCAACCCAAGACGTGATTTGCGGTCAATCAATTGCGGTCAACCGTTCGTGGTCAACCAGATCTACATAAATTTTAAGCCGTAAGTTCTCTACGTCAAACCTTTAGATCCGCTGCGCATAGGTTACGTTTGCTATTGAATTCGTGATTTGTACATAACGAGATCCTCACAGATCCCAACAGTTTAAGGATTTTTTTGTTTCATTCAGTGATTAGTGCAGCAAAGGTTTTGGGAGGCTTGGGTTTTGAGCTAGCCAGGGAGCTCGTCTAGCCACTCAGGAGAAAATTTGAAGGTGGGGGAGGTTGACAATGATATATTTGTTTTTCCAAGTTGTGACGTTGAAAGGGTGGTTTTGAAGGAAGTTGGAACCATTACAACCAGAGAGGTAGTAAGAGCCTTTTTGGGGTGAGCCAGTAGTAGTAAAAAAAAAGTCGGTGTCTAACTTGTGAAATCGACACGGACTCAGGATGGTGAACCCGACCATGATGTTGATCGATTTTAGAGTGAAGTGGTTTAGAGGGATGTAGTAGAGTCGGTTAAGTTCTATCAGGTCGTCCCAAAGAGAGAATTTCAATCCATCTTGGTTTTGGCCGAGGATAAAAGAGTAATATCCCAAATAGGGCTGGTCAAAGGGTTCACCGACCTTGGGAACCCAGAGGTCCCAAGACCGTGGAATCTCACAGTCATGGAGGAGAGTTGTGATGTAGTCATTGGAAATGAAGTTATGGGATTTGGCTTAACAAGTTTCACCAGATCGGGTACCTCGGCTTTCTTACCTTTTATAATGGTGATCTGGCCTTTCTATTTACATGAGAGTGGAGGGCTAAGTCGAAGTAGGATAAAAGGTGTTGTAGGGTTTTGAAGAGACGTTTCTAATAAGCGCGACTCCCCAAGTCGACTAATTAAAGACATTTAAGGCTGAAAAGACAGGTTGGGTTCAATGAATCATTCTTGCACAAGACTTGATAGCTTGTTCAATAATGGTTGGCTAGATGATATAGCACCCCAAATAGCTAGATGGACCGGCCTGAGTGGTTAGCTCGGATACGACTGGTCTAGGGGAGCTTTAGTTCGGTCTTAGTGCTCGACCTCGTCAAGGAGCTCACTTATGCAACTCCGGATATGGGTCGACCTGATTAGAAGGCTTGGATGTCGGGTTCCTTTAGGAGCTCGAAAATACGAGAGGACCTCATGACCCGGAGGTCGTTAGTGTGAAGGTCGTGGTTATGACATGGTTATAGTCCGTGGCAGATAGGTTGTGAGGTCGTTCATACGATCTAAGGACCTAAGTGTCGTATGGTAAAAGGAGACAGAATCCTTCAAAGATGGAAATGTATCTCGCTAAAGAATCTAAGATCCTAGAGATGTGATAAGCTAAAAAAGTAGATACGGTTTGATCTTTTTTCTAGTCGGCACTCTACTTGGGCAACAAAATACCTTAATATATAAAGGGTGATCACAGGCGAGTATTGACTTAAGCGAGGTTTTTATGCTGATACTCCCCCAGTGTATAAAGTTCATCAGAATTCAAGATAAAAAGTTGTTAGTGGTGATACCAGTTTCACCCGGTCCAAAAATAAATTTACATATCACACTCTTTAGAGAAACAGAGGTATTTAGAAGAGATTACAAGTCTTTTACCACATCCCGTGATCTATTTGAAAATGTCCTTTGGATTCCTACAATTTGTGAATTTCTTCGTCTTTTCCTTTGTTTTTCCTTTTCTTTTTCTTTCTTTTCTTTAATAGTCAAAATTATTAAGAAAGCCGGGCTCATAATTTGCTTTGGTAAACTGATAGATAATAATTAAGTATTTATACTCTAAAAAACACGACATAATATGATATTTTATAGAATTGTATGCGAACATATATGGCGTGCACAATTATGAATTTGTTTTGGTAAATACAAGATATAAATATGCAAAAGTTACAGCTTACTTTTTCTTCGTATCTTGATCGAAAATTTTGTTGCCAACAATCTTAACTCTAATTTGTCCTGTTCGTCTAACTGGTGAGGTTAAACTATTATTTTACAGACTACACTCGACACATTACAAATGACATATAAACCTATACCAAAATCACTTTTTGAATTACGTGGAGTGTTGGGTAAAATAAACCCCTAATATACTAAACGTTATTTTGGTGAACAATACAAAAGCAAAAAAAAAAAAATGATAAGGAGCAATAACCATTTTTCTTAAATTAATTATTTACCATCACTAGTTTGCTAAACATTAAAAAAAGACGAGAACAAAAGCAAATATATGGCGTGTAATTTGTGTTTGACCTTCATCACATATATATAGACCTTGAATTACACCTTTTTAAAAGTTCGTATTATATAGTTTCTAGACCTACAATTGCAACTTTTGGCGATCCAAACTAAGATTTGATATATATATATTTTTTCAATCAATTTCATGTTTTTTGGTTGGCTCCTTTCTTTCCCTACGATAGTTTTTTCGCCGCACCTCTCCATCTGCGGGTTGACATCAATTCTCCTAGCGTTGTCGGTACTTCCTCCGGCTTGGATTTCCACCTTTTTTCGAGCGGCCACGACTAGGCTTGGAATTGTCGATTTTCCGTTGGTGCTGCCGATGTTGGTTGTCGTCGGCAGCCGACTCCGAGATTTATGTTTCTCTCTCCCCTAGTCATCTATTTTTCTCTCCCTAGTGTTGGGTTGGGGAGGGCTCTGACAGGAGCACTCTTCATCTCCTATCGTTTTTCTATTG